AGTATGTTATGCCAATTGAGCTTGATGTCCCCTGTGACTATGGTCCTGAGCCCACAGGTTCAACTACTTGGTCCCTGTGGGTAGCTCGCTGTGACCAAGAAGTGACTACAGCTTTGTCCCTTGTCACCTCTACTATACACCTGGGAATTCAGATCATACAAATACACTTATAGGACCATTGTCTGTCAACCCTATACATGGTCTTGGGTACACTCCCCACTCCATAGACATACCTAGTAGTTCAGCCTGTCCACCTATCTATCCACCTGTATACCCATGTTTGTCTTTACTAACAGCGCAGTACTGCATGCGCATAAGGGTTCATCTTCGTTGTCTGTACCTCCCATGTACCTCTCTTTGTCTTCCTCTTCCTCAGTGCCACCATGTTGATCACTCACATTTGGTACATTGCCCTTCTCTTCACCCAAATCAGTACTTATCTCTACCTATCTAGCAGTGCTCCCTATCCTTCCCTCCCACCCCTGGTAACCAACAAAGAAACTTTCCTTCCATAGATAAACCTTTCCTTGAGTTATACAATAATGGACTGAGACTTGTTTTATGACCTAACAATACAATGTTTTCTGGAGAATATTCCATGTGAATTTGAGAAGATTATGTATTCTGTTGTTGTTGGCTGGAGTGCTCTATTAGCTCTCTGTTAGCGTTAATTGGTTTATAGTGTTGCTCAAATTCTTGATCTTCTATGTAGCTGTTCTACCTATAATTGAATTCTCAAATTACTATTATGGAACTATTTCTTTCTTTAATTCTATCAAATTTTGTTTTCTAGATTTGGGGCTTTGCTATTAGAGCTCCTAGTTATTTTCTTAGTGGTTACTTAAACATCTTAAACTTACAACAACCTAAAGATCAGATGGATGAAATCTTGCATCCATCTCAGGTTTCTTCTGAGCATGTGCTTTGCTATTAGATGTATACAATTGTTATATCCTCTTACTGTAGTGATCCTTTTATCAATATGTAATATTCTTCTTTGTCTTTTCTAATAATTTTTGATGTAAAGTGTATTTGATTTGATATTAGAACAGCTTTCTCAGCTCTCTTTTGGTTTGTTTACATGCAATATTGCTTTCTATCCTTTTACTTTGTGTCTTTCTATCTAAACTCAGTATCTTGTAGATAGCATATAGATGGATGATTTTAAAAAAAAATGTATTCTGTCAGTCTCTGTCTTTGAATCAGAAAGTTTAATTCTTGTACATTTAATCTGACTACTGATAAAGAGGGGCTTACTTCTGGTATTTTGCTATTATTTTTTCCTGCACGTCCTCTCCCCCTCCCCCAATTGCTCCATTACTATATTTTTTGTTTTTTGTTTTTTTTTCTGTGGGGGGAGTATTGTTTTGATTCCTTTGTCATTTTCTTTGGGATATATATTTTAGTTACTAAACTCACTGCTGTCAAGTTGGATCCGACTCATAGTGACCCCTCCTTGGGTTTCCGAGGCGGTATCACTATGGAAATAGATTGCCCAACCTTCCTTCCAACGTGTGGCTGGTGGGTATGAACCGCCAGCCTTCTGGTTGACAGACAAATGCCTTAGGCACTACACTGCCAGAGCTCCTAGTTATTTTCTTAGTGGTTACTTAAACATCTTAAACTTATAACAACCTAAAGATCAGATGGATGAAAGCTTGCGTCCATCTCAGGTCTTTTCTGAGCATGTGTTCTGCCCTGGGAGTATTGATACCTTCTAGATTTTTTGGTACAGGAGAAGAGGAAGGTGTTCAAAGTCTCTATTCCCCAGAAAACTTCATGCCCCAGCTTTTTCTCCCAGGCTTTTGGCGTTTCTTTTGTTTGTCCCAACTGTTATTTTTTCCCCAGGTGGCAGCAGCTTGTTCATTTGTCTTTCAATGTTTTAGAGCAATGTTCTCTGAGCAGCTTGCTCCTGATAGAATTCTGAGTTAGATGAAACAAAAAGGAAGGCTTTTGAATTAGTGCAAATACCAGTCAGGTCAAAATAGACAAACACAATTCCCTGGGAGCAAGCTTCACTCTGCTCTCTCTGAAACCAGTTATCCACAAGGGGGATGTGGGTTGTCATTTTTAAGACTACCGCCATGCCAGGGAAACAGGTGGGGCAAGGCTAATTTAAAATGTTACAGAACGCTCCTCGGTATTTCTGTGCCCCTTTTCGTCATTAAACATTTGCTTGTTTGCTCTAAATCTTTGATTATTTTCCAGAGTTTTGATAAGGTTGATGATAGCTTTTGTCAGGCGTTTCAATATTTCTGGAAAAGGATGGATCCTGGAGGTTCCTACTCCATCATTTTTGCTGATATCACTCCAATACAGTTATTTTTTTGAAAAGGCAATTTATTTACACTTAGTAAGTATAACTTCATCTCACAGAGACCCTAGAAGACAGAGTACAACTGCTCCATAGGGTTTCCAAGGCTCTGGTACCATAGTGCCTAAGGCACTTGACTGCTAACCAGAAGGCTGGTGGTTCAAACCCACTAGCCACTCCTTGGAAGGAAGGTTGGGCAATCTACTTCCGTAGTGATAGTGCCTCAGAAACCCAAGGAGGGGTCGCTATGAGTTGGGACTGACTCGATGGCACATAACAACAACAACAACAAAATCTTTCCAGAATGAGACTGCCACATCTTTCTCCTGTGGGTTCAAACTACTGACCTTTTGGTTAGTAGTTGAGTGCTTTAACCACTAAGTCACCAGGCCTCCTTTCAATCGATTCAATGGTAATGAGTTTGGTTTTTGGTTTAGGCATAACTTGTATTATCACCAGTTGTTTCTAAAGGGAAATAGCATATATCTTAAACACATTATCCTTTTTCTAATGAAAATATCATATCTATTAACCTTCCTGGATATTGTTCTACATAGCATGACTTTTTACAAGACAAATTAGCCAGAGGTATGTAGTTAAATTATAATGGTAATGTTTTAATGTGTGGATGAAGAAGACATTAACCTAGAATTGTACACATTAATAAAAACAAAACAAAAAAGCAAACCTTTTATGTTTTGAATGTAGTTTATTTATGTTTAAGTAAAAGTAGCAAATATTACATAAGTTTTTCTTTAAGAATATTTATTTTGTGCAACCACATGGTTATCATCAAGCAACATTTATAGAATATTCCCTGGAGCCACAATATTGAACTTTGTAATTATTGTATACCTCCTCTTTTCTAAGTGTTAAACTTAACCCTTGTATGCTGAAGAAATATGGCTTGGCATTGCAGAGTGGCCATGTGTGACAACCTGGCTTGAAGTGACAAGCACCTTCATGAAGAATGTTTTATCTTTTATTGATTACAAAATGGTATTTTTCTTTTTAAGTGATTATCAAACCCATAAGTTTTTATTTTGGATTCTTCTTACTTCTGACACAAATTAAACCAGTAAAACTAAGCACAGTAGCAGTATAACTGATCAAATATATATGATGTATCTTACAGAGTATGCTTTAGATGACATTAATGTTTTATTATTACACATCTGTATTTAATATATTTTGGGCAATGAAAAGGAGCAAGTCTGGTATACAACTACAAAAAAAGATTACCGTGTAAGCTGATTCATTGTTTTAGCATAAAAAATAATGGATTTGCTCCTTTTTCCAGAGTATAGTAGAAAAATTTAATATTAAATTAAGAAGTATCGCTGGTCTCATTTTTCATGTTCCTATTTCATACATTTTATATAACCAAATAATCCTGTAATTTTACAGCTAAAATACTGTTACTTATTACTTAGACATAGTTATCAGAGTGTAGGCTGACTGCTGCTTTCATGTTTGTGAACACTGATCATTTAACTGTCTGCCTTCCCTAACATGTACTTTTGCTAATGATAAAAAAAATATAATGGGGAGTCATTAGTAATAATAAATATCCAACAATTGATTAGGGCAATGACTAATCTTAAAGGTTAACATTTTATTGCTATGATAAGAGCTGTATCTTGTTAAGTTAGCTGTACAGAGAAGAATGTCAGTATGGGGAAACACATAATTCAAAAGAAATCACACTGCATGCTTATTTGACTGCTAGAAATTCGCTGGTTCAATGCATCAATGGTGTTTAGGATAGAATCTACATGCAGTTTCTTCAGCAAGCTTGTTGTTCCACCAGAAAAGCCCAGCAATATTATAGACATCTCACAGCCGTCACTGCACATGTCTATTGGTGCTCACTGCCAAGGAGGTTTCAGATTCTTCAACAAAATCCAATGCTAGATTTAGAACTGAAGGTACTTTGTTTTGCATACTTAAAATACCTATAAAAACCAAATTTCAAAAATAGTATAAATTTATGTCATTGTTTTTATTATTTTTTGCAGTTGTAATTGTTACTTTTTTTATCCATTACAAATCATTTCCTTAAAAATACAAATTATTAATAAGAACTATTATTACTGATGTACTGATACAACTTAGGAATAATTTTATGATCAATTCAGAGGAACTCTAGCAGAAAAAAATGAAAATATTTAACATACATTTTTATATCAAGTGACTTTTAAAAAAAATTGTTTGGTAAGGAAATTTTAAAACACACAAAGTGAAATGAACCCCTCACATACTCATCGGGCATCCTAAAAAATTATCAATAGTTCTGTCATTCTTCAGTTAGCATTTACTGAATGCTTATTTCTGGCAATTTCCGAAGCCTGCTTTAGCTCACTGAAAAGTCAGAGAAACCAAATGAGCTAGGTTAGAGGTGGAATTACTGTGAAGAGCTTAATGAATCACTGCGTAATGTAAACAGTTAATGCACTCAGCTGCTAACCACAAGGTTGAAGGTTTGAATCCGCTCACAGATGCCTCAGAAGAAGGGCCTGATGATCTACTTCCAAAAAATTAGCCATTGAAAATCCTATGGAACACAGTTCTACTCTGACACACATGGGGTTGCCATGAGGTAGAGTTGACTAGGGGTAACTGGTTTGGTTTTGATTTTTAAATAAATCTTTGGGAGCCCCTGTTATGTTGTTGTTGTTATGTGCCGTCGAGTC